GAGTGGAGGGCAAAGGGTCAACTTTCACTGCAGGCACAGGCCTAGTGTAAGGAACCCCTGAGCTCCCCCTACTTGTGATATCACCTAACAGTTCAGAATCAGCTTCCCTAAAGAAGCTGGATGTGGAAGCTGCAAGAGAAGCTTTACATGTCTGGATAAAATCATCAAGTCGAGACTGATGATGAGGGAGGAGAGACAGATAAGAGCTGATCTGTGCAGAATCTGAAAATAGCATCTCAGGAGCCAGGTGTTGGAAACTTGATTAAAGGCAACACTCCAGGCAGGGAAGCAAAAATTATCCAAGTAAATGTTTACAAAGCTGTAGTTTGTCTTTTATGAAGCTGCAGCTTCAAGGGGCCTGCACATGTACAAACACTCTCTGTAGCCAAAGGGTTAGAAAACTGGATGCATAAAACATGTCTTGGCATGGCAGCCACCATAGACTCTAGAGCAGAAGCCTTTGTCTGAGGTTCTTCAAGAATGAGAGGTCGCTAGAAAAAAAAATATAAAGAACCATTTCCCCTCCTTTGTTTTTTTTGTTTTTGTTTTCAATCTTGGCTAGTTAAGAGGCCCTACGCTTGGATTAAGAGGAAATCATAAAGTAGGAATGTGGAGTCATGTATTTAAAACCAAACCAGGTTGCTAGGAGTTCTAAGTCTGCATAGTCAGGTAATTTGTAGTCTTTCACTTTGACCTTATTGCATGAAATACTCTCAGGTGAAAATAGAGTAAACACTGTTGTCAGATATTTATTCCATCTCTGGTCTGTTTGCTCCATTATATCAGCTGGACTTTGTTTGTGGTAACAGCTCTAAAATGAAAGGTATTAAAGGACAACACAAGGTCAGGACTTGACCACATTATGCCAACAACAAATCCAAAAGGAAACAAGAGAAGAAATATAATTAGGGACATATTTCCTACAGAGCCATGGGTTTTTAATACAGTTATCACTTTGATTCAACCAACATTTATGGAACACCCAGCACAGAGTATGTAAGCAAAGCACTACATGAGGGACCATAGATATAAAGACATAAATGAAAATGGATCCTCCCTCCAAGGAGTTTACAATCTAATCGGCAGATACAGTATATACATAGGCAAGTGAATACAAGGCAACAAGAGGACATGGAGAGAACCCACAATTGGAGAGGTTAGATGAGATTTTGTGGGAGAGGTCACAGGTGGAAGGAGCCATGAAGGAAGATAAAAATTCCAAGGAGCTCTGATGAGGAGAGATAAGATTCACCCCAGACTTTGGATCTAAACCTGTGTGAATTCACAGAGAGAGAATACTGAATTTGAGAAACAGCAAACAGACCAGTTTGACCAGAATATCAAACACTTAAGAAAGAGCAACATGAAAAATCTGGGCAAGTAGATTAGAGCCAGATTACAGAAAATTTTAAATGCAAAGATGAGGAGCTTCTACTTAATCATATAATCATAGGAGCCACCAACAGTTTTTTGTTTTATTTTTGTTTTGTTCTTTAGCAGGCAAGACTATTTTCACAGCTGTGAGGAGGATGGATAAAATAACAGAGAGTAACATTTACTTTTGCTATTTTCAAGCGAAGCTTAACTAATATAAATCAATGACTAGAATAAAGGAAAGAAAAGACCTGCAAATACCTGATCTCTTGCCAAGAGAAGAGAGGATAAAAGCAACAGAAATACCACTTTTAAAAGAATACATTGGGAATACGCATTATATAGAATGGTGACAGATTATAAGAGGTAACAGAAGTCTTAGAACAACAGCAAGCAATAGAGAAAAAGATAAAGTTTACAGAAAGTTGCTCAAGTGACTAATTAAACCATATAATTCTGAGGACATTTAAGGATAAAACTGGGAGAACGATAAACATGAAAAGTAGGACGCTAACAAATTAGTCTCTTCATCGGTTTCTGTAGAGTAACCATATTTGGACTCTAACATCACAATTGGGCATTTTACTACATGAAGAAGTAGAAATGGTGCCAAAGAAAACAAGTATGACAAGAACAGATGGACTAGACAAATTATATACAAAGGAGATGTGTACTAGAAGTGACACAATGTTACCGGTAGTGAGAGATCAATTCTTATGGAATCTGAAGAGAAAAAGATAGTAAAAGCCTGAGAAAATCAAGGAAATTTTCACTATAAAATAAAGTGATTAAAAACCAATAAATACTGATACATATACCTATTTCTTTTCTCTACAAAGTTTTTTGTGAGAACAATCTCAAAGCATCCATACTTGATACATACATGAACAGGAACAGGCAAATGAAATTCTCTCCCAAACAGCATCTTTATAGTAACACGATGGGCTGAAACATGCAGATAATACAATAACCCATTGAGCTTTGGGGGATTTTTTGTTTTTAATTTTAAACTAATATAGCAAAATATTGATTTAAAGGATCTCCTCCAATGAAGTGCTACCCACAAATATGTCAAAATCACACAAGATTCCTTTAAAGATGTAATATTGATCATTTCTTAAATTATTTTGACAGCTATGTGGCATATTGGACCTATAGTCAGGAAAACCTGGATTCAAGTCTCACCTCAGACACTTATGATCTGTATAAACCTGAGCAAATCCCTCAGACTCTGCCTGCCTCAGTTTCTCCATCTTTAAAATGGGAAAACAATAACACCTACCTCATAGCATTATTGGGAGGATAAATTGAGATAATATCTGTAAAGGGCTTTTCAAATCTTAAAACACTATATAAATGCTAGCTGTTATTATTATGAAGTCTCACTCAATCCAGGAATTAAATGGGAAGATGTGTGCTTGCCAAGGTTGTGTTCACTGTCATGTAAAATGTCAAATGCTGAGTTAAAATGAAAGAAAGACTCACCGCTGATGATGAGACCAAAACATACACTTCACCTGCATAGATTGGACAAAGCCCTCAATAGAATAAGAAAACTACTTTAAAGAACTAGAAGAGTATTGATATTATCATGTGAAACATCTGTAGCAGAATGAGTGATTGATAGAGTTTAGGGAAGAAAAAAAGAAAAAGTTTAGGGAAGAAGGCTAATGCTTTTGGCAGTACTTCTATAGACTTCATCTTCCCTTGCTGCCAGTAACCACAACACTGCTCTTAAAAGGCTGGCTAAATCCCATGCTAAGGATACTTTGATTCATTAGTACAATGTTTCTGTAAACTCTTGGTCTGTCTGTAGCAATGCAAATACAACAAACATTTATGGTATCCATGCTGTACAGGATGACTGTACTTTATCATCTCAGCATCATTAACCATCTGTCATTTCAGCATCACCTACAGAAATCTGACTATGGAAGAGTTAGAAATGGGTTTTATCCCCATCTATGCTAATGCTCAGGGTTATCCAAAGAGAATTCAGCTGAAATGAGGAAAGCCAGAGTTATAGTACTTAAGCTGGAAGCAATAAGCCCTGCTAACTATGATGAGCTGGCATTGGCTCAAAATGTATTATCAGCCTAAATGAATATTGAAACATTCAAAGATGACTATTAAATTAAAAAAAAAATACAGAGATAAGGAAAGAGGGAAACAGTGCCCTCTTCTTAGTAAATACTTTCATGAAAAACACCACTTGTCACGAATGTGAAGAGGGAAGAATAAAAAGGCATCCGTTATTACCAAATTCCCTAATAAAGCCTAGTCACTTAGTAACTTAAGGAAATGCTTTCCTGAGAGCTGGCATTCCAAAAAAGAAGTGATTTGGGGTATTGGGCCTACTGAAGAAACATAAAATGATGTAATTTGATCTCTCTCTTACAGAAAAGTGTTAGCAATGACAGTACCCAAGGAAGGGACTTCATTTAAGCAGAATGTTTTAAATTGACAATTAAATACATTTAGAAATTGATAATAGCTATTTCCATAATTATTAGCTATCTATGATATATACAAAATGCATATTTATATATGTATATAATGTGTATATACATAGGTCCACATAGGAATAGGGACTAGATCTGTGATTTCATTGATATAAGAGAAGAAACATGGTATACCAAGGTAGGTTGGTACCTCCTCTGTAACATATAGTCTTAGGGAGTGTCTTAGAGCACTAAGATGTTAGGTGATTTGTCCAGGGTCAAATTGATATTGTGCTACTGAGGCTGTCTTGGTTTTGAGGCTAGTTTTCTATCCACTAAACTAGAGGTGTGGAACCTGCGGCGTCAAGGCCACATGTGGCCCTCTAGGTCCTCAAGTGCATCATTGGATTCAGTCAAAGGGCTGTACTTGAGAACCTAGAAGGCCACATGTGGCCTCGAGGCCTGAGGTTCTCCACCCCTGTACTAAACCAACCTGCCTCTCTACATACATATATGCACTAGCAAATGTGTCCATTCTGTTGCGAATTTTCAATATTCTATAAATGTATGTTGAATTAATTGATGAATACTATCATTCTGTCTGACCTCTGGTAAATAAATATTATGGTATTTGTTGCTTCGAATGTAAACCCCTTGAGGGTAGGGGCTGTTTTATTTTTGGCTTTTTGTCACTAGTATCTGATGCAATGCCTGGCATATAATAGGTGCTTAATAAGTTCAATGAACAAATGAATGTATCAGAAACCATAATTTGAGAAACTGAAGGGAATAAGCATTTATATAATACCTCCTAAGTGACAGACAATATGCTAAGTTCTTTTTACAATTATTATCTCATTTAATCCTCATAACAACCCTGTGAGGTGAGTGCTACTATTATCTCCATTTTACAAATGAGGAAACTGAGGCAAACACTAATTAAGTGACTTGCCCAATGTCATACAACTATTAAGTGTCTGAGAGAGACCAGGGAGCTCAGTACTTCCTGATTTCAGATACAGAGCTCTACTCAGTGTGCCACCAGCTACCTCTGATTGGTGGAAGGAAAAAAAATACAGACTAAATTTCTAAGAAAAGTGGATGAAGACATTTAAGCTTGATTTATAGGACCCTGGTGTTAAGAGACAGGTAGGAAATGATTGATTCTTGTGCTTGTTTTTTCAGCTGTTTACCTCTGCAAGAGAACAATGCAAAACAAAGCTCGGCTGGAGCTAGCAGACTATGAAGCTGTAAGTAACTGATCCTGGACCTTCTCTAGAGCTTCACATAAATCAAGACCTTAAGCAAATAGCAATAGAGCACAGGTGCTTTCGCCTGCACTCTCTTCCCTTTACACCTTCATGGAGTGCTGGGATTGGGATTGGGTGGTATAAAGAGTTTATTGGTTCTGCCCCTATCTGGCCATCTCTCGCCCCATCCATCAGGCTGATGAGGCTCTAGAGCACAAATCAAGCAACTGGACAGGACTGGGGTGAATGGGTGGATTTAATGGCTGCTCTGATCCATGTACTTTGCTAATGTCTGAGACCAAATCCCTAATTTATCCTGTGTACGTAGTGTTTGTACATAATATTTTGCATGTTGTCTCTCCTGTCAGACTCTAACGTTCCTTGAGGGCAAGGACGGCTTATGCCTTTCTTTCTATCCCATGTTAACACAATGCCTGCACATATTAGGTCCTTAAATGTTAGTTGACTACGATCAGAAGTTTATATATTTAGGGCCAGAAGGAACCTTAAAGGGCATCTAGTCTGACCTCCTAATTTTATACTTGAGGAAACTGAGGCCCAGAGATGTTAAATGACCTGCCCAAGTAGTAAATGACAAAGGTAGACTTGAACCCAAGTCCTCTGACTCTAAATCCAGTATTCTTTCCACTATGCAACACTACCAATTTGGAGTTAAAGATCATTATGATAGGGGAAATGGCTTCTATCAATAGAAAGACTTCAGCAAGAACCTGATTTCTTTCTTTTCAGATATTAAGCAAGTTAGAGATCATTGAAACTGAGGCAAGGAATGAGAAAGGGGTATGAGCAAACCAAGGTCAGCCTTTAATTGCATGCCAGGAAATTTGGTGTCCTGGCTTGTAATCTAATCTATAGCCAGAGTTAATTTCCTATTCCTTGGTATAAAGTGGGAGCACTGACAGATGCACTGATTGTATCTCTGCAGTACTTTCTAGCATGATTCTGAAAACAAACAAAAAAAATGATCTTTACAGATACCACAATTACATAAGGTTTTTAATTACACTTTTAAAAGTCACTTCTTTAATGATGGTAAAGTCCTATAAGAAGATAGCTTATTTTAAGGCTTAGATGCACACACGCATCATTTTAGTAATAACTCTACATCTGGCTTTTCAGCTGACCCTAACTGTAAGTAATCTGTAGCAGAAAAATATGGTCTTAAATATTCTTAACCTGCGATGTGTTTTCAGGAGAGCTTGGCTAGACTACAACGAGCGTTTGCCCGGAAGTGGGAGTTTATTTTTATGCAAGCAGAAGCCCAAGCAAAGTGAGTATTTGTGAGTCAGGCTTATTGGTGCACATCAGTGAGGTTTTTCCCTTCCAAGAGAAGATTGTAAGTAATGCCTATTTCCTTTACCACTACATTGTTCACAGAGTTGACAAGAAAAGAGACAAGATAGAAAGAAAGATTCTTGACAGCCAGGAACGAGCGTTCTGGGATGTACATAGACCAGTGGTAAGTAAAGGCATGGGACATTTTTCAAATCAATCATCTTAGCCTTTGCCTAGTGGAAGAGGCCATTTTGAAATGAGAGGTGTGGGAAATTATTTCATTCTCCCATTGTTCTGAGAAAGAGTTAGTAAAACAGGACCTCTCCTTTTCACGAGACCAATGGTCAGTAGCATAATATCTGATACTTTATACAAGTACAAAAAAAAATTCAAGTATTTTTATACAAAATACAATCTTATTCTGCTCAGGTACAGTACTGATGATTTTAATTCAATCTCTAAACTTCAGAATTTTAAGGATTCCTCCTATATATATTTTATCTCAAGAGAGGAAGAGTACTTGTCTTGCAGTCAAGAGAAACATGGGTTCAAATATCACCTCTGGATACTAGTTGTGTGACTATGGACAGGTCATTTAATCTTTTTTTAGCCTTAGTTTTCACAACTCTATGATGCTATGATGGGGACAGTTATGCCATACCTATCACATAAGGTTATTGTGAGCCTCAAAGGATATAATGGATGGTAAAGTTATTTGCAAAGCTTAAAGCAGTATGTACCAACTCTTGTTCTCCTCTCCCTCCCTTCATTCTTGACCCTGTGGTCGATTAGTTCAAGCATATACAATCTGCTAGCCTTGAAACTCTTGCTTCTTTGTTGTAGTACTAACAACTCTATGTTTATCTGTCAAACTCCAAACACGGGTTACCTCCACCATCCACTGTAATCCTGGAGAGTAATCCAACCATGCCAACTTGCTTCATGTTTAATTTATATTATCTAATCTCAAGTGGGTTTTCATTTCTGCATAACAAGCCTTATATATTTTTTTCCTGCCTCTTTTCTATTACATATGTCTGATAAGAAATAGGCCTTCTCTTTGCCTATTTGCTAATCCTTCCACTTATGCTCTCAATCCTCTCCTCTGTTCTCTCATCTTTTCTGGGAGCTTGCCTCATCAATCATACCTTTTCTTTCTCTAATTTTCGATATTTGCTTATTCTCTGGCTCTTCTATCTATCTTTCTATCTGTCTATCTTTCTATATCTATAGCTATCTGTGCCAAGATTTCTCCTATTCTTAAAAAGTCTTCACTTTACCGTGCCATTTCAACTTGTGTTTTTTCTTCCTCAAATAGCCATATTCCTTTAAAAACTATTTAAATTAATTCCTTATGTTTCAGCACTTCTCAATTGCTCAGTCTAGTTTCTGATTTCACTGCTTGATTGATAGGGTTTTCTCTAAGGTGTTACAAAGATCTCCTTTTAAAAAATATTTTATTCTATTTATTTATTCAATTTTTGAGTTCCAAATTCTCTCCCTCTCTTCATTCCTTCCCCCACCCACTGAGAAAGAAAACAATGATATCAATTAAACATGTGAAATCGGGGCAGCTAGGTGGCGCAGGGGAGAGAGCTCTAGCCTTGGAGTCGGGAGGACCTGAGTTCAAGTCCAGACTCAGACACTTGACATTTACTAGCTGTGTGACTTTGGGCAAGTCACTTAACCCTGATTGCCTAACAAGAAAAGAAAAATGTGAAATCAATTCAAAACATATCTCTATATTAGCCATGTCATAAAGAGCAAGAAAAAACAAAGAAAGGGAGAAATTCTACTTCAATTTGCACTCACAGTTTGTCAATTCCCTCTCTGGAGGTGGATAAGCATTTTTTATCATGAGACGTTCAGAATTATCTTGGATCATTGTCCTAATCAGGTAGCTGTTTTTCATAGTTGATCAGTCGTACAATATTGCTGTTATTATGTACAATATTCTCCTGGTTCTGCTTGCTTTCCTTTGCATCAGTTCATATAGGTCTTCCCAGGGTTTTCTGAAACCATCCTGTTTGTCATTTCTTATGGCACAATAATATTCCCAAAAATCATCTCACTACTTGTTTAGCCATTTCCCTCAATTGATGGGCATCCCCTTGATGTCCAATTCTTTTCCACCACAAAAAGCTATTATAAATACTTTTCTACATATAGCTCTTTTTCATTTCTATTTGACTTCTTTGGATACAGACCTAGCAGTGGTATTGCTGAGTGAAAAGGCATTCATAGTTTTATACCCCTTTGGGCATAGCTCCAAATTGTTCTCCAAAATAGTTGGACTATTTTACAATTCCACCAATAGTGTATAAGTGCACCTATTTTTCCATAGATCTTCTAGCATTTGTTATTTTCCTTTTCTGTCATGTTAGCCAATCTAATAGGTGTGAAATGATACCTCAGAACTGTTTTAATTTTAATTCTCTAATCAATAGTGATTTAGAGCATTTTTCTTATGACAATAGTTTTGATTTCTTCTTCTGAAAACTGCCTGTTCCTGTCCTTTGACTATTTATCAGTTGGAGAATACCTCATTTTTTTTGTAAATTTGACTCAGTTCCCTCTACATTTGAGAAATAAGTCCTTTATCTGAAAAAAAGTTGCTTTAAAATGTTTGATATTACTTCCCCATATGTAATACCTTTTAGCAAAATGAAGTTTCCCTGATTATCTCTTTTAACTAGATCTATTTTTGCTTTTGTTTTGTCTAAGATCATGATTGCTACCCCTGCCTTTTTCACTTCAGCTGAAGCCTAATAGATTCTGCTCGAGTCCCTTATTTTAACTCTTTGTGTGTATCTCTTTTTAAAGTTCCAATGATCTCTTAATTAATAAGACCAATGACCTTTACTCAGTCATCATCCTTCTTGATTTCTCTAGAGCTGTTGACATTGCCATCCCCCTCCAATCCCTGGATAATTCCTCCTCTTTTAGCTTCTGTAACATTGTTTTGTCTTTGTTCACCTTGTACCTCTCTGACTGCCCCTTCTCATTTGCTATTCTTTGGTCTTCATCCTCATCTGGTAAATATCAGCATCATTAAAGTTCCATTCTAGACCCTCTTATTTTCTCTCTTAGGTATTCCCTCACTTGGGAATATCATCACCTCTAGTGATGATATCCTCACCATTAACTCCATCACTTATATTCATCAATCCAATGCCCATCTTTGTACATATGACTTCCAAATCCAGTCCCAATCTCTCTTCTGAGCTCAGTCTTCTATCAGCTCTATCTGTTTGACATCTCTACCTGGATATCCCATAAGCCTCTCAAACTTAATATGTCTAAAATGGATATTATATTTCCTCCAAAATTCATCTGTCCTTCAAACTTCCAGCTTTCTATTGATGGCACTACCCACCATACTTTCCAGTTTCACAAGCTTACTTCAGAACTTTCCTATTATCCTTGACTCTTTCCATGTCTTATCAGTTAGTTGCCAAGTCTTATTCATTTTACCTCTCTCATATCAATTCCTCCACTCCTGCAATTTCTACCCTAGTTCAGGCTCATCAGCTCTCCAATGAACTATTGCAATAGCTTTGTAATTTGGTTTTTTGCCTCCTGACTCCAAACCTAATCTCTTCCCTTTCCATGACAACTTCTGAAGAGCTGTCAAATTGATATTCCTAAAGTACAGATCTATGTCATCCCCTTACTCAAAAATTGTCAATTGCTTCCAAGATTACAATATAAAATCCTCAGCATGACATTTAAGGCCCTCCATGATCTTGCTCCCATGTACCTTTCCAATTTTATTTCATATTAATTTCATACCAATTTCCAATTTATTTCATATTAATGTTTCATTCTTTCTTTGATCCAATTAGAATGACCTGTTTTCTCTTTACATGCCATATTTCACATTCATGCCTTTGTACAAGTGGATTTGAACTCAGGTCCTCCTGACTCCAAGCCCAGAGCTCTCTCCACTGCACCACCTAAGTGTGACCTTCATGGCCTTTTTTTTAAGGAAACCATATGTCCTATCAGAGGTTTTATTTTAAAAATTCTACCCCAATTCCTATCTCATCTCTTCTTCTTTTCTATTCCTGTCTCTTATTTCTTGTTCAGTCTCTTCCCTCATTCTTCCATCTTTCCTCTTCCACCTTTCTCCTAGGAATTAGGTGGCAGAGTGGACAGAGTGATGGGCCTGTAGTTGAGAAGATCTGAGATCTAATTCTCCCTCAGATTCTTACTAGCTGTGTGACCCTGGGCAATTACTTAACTTCTGTCTGCCACAGTTTCTTCAACTGTAAAATAAGGATATTTTAAAATGTAAAATCCTCTCAAGGTTGTTGTTGTAATCAAATAAGATATTTGTAAAGCACTTAGTACAATTCCTGGCACATAGTAGGCACTTAATAAGTGCTTGTTTCCTTTTATTCTTTCCTTCTCCTGGTCCCTATTTCCTCATCTTTCCTCTGACCTTTCCTTTCTCCATCTCTTTCTTTGCCTTCCTTTGCTTCTCTCTCTATCTCACTTCTCAATTTCCTATCTCTCCCATTTTTCCAGCTTTCCCCTCCTTTCCTATTCTTTCTTTCACTCCATCATCCTCATTTGTTAATTATATACTAAGGTTTCCTGATTAGTTGTCATTAATCTGGAGCTAACCAGGACAGGAAACCATCAGTTCTGTAACAGTCTAACCTGTGTGTGTGTGAGAGAGAGAGAGAGAGAGAGAGAGAGAGAGAGAGAGAGAGAGAGAGAGAGAGAGAAAGAAGGTAGGAAGGGAAAAAGGAAGAAACTATCTTTAAACATCTTTTAAACCAAGCAGTTCTGTACCATAAAAAAAAAAAACCATGTACTCTTGGCTGACTCTCAAAATGCCAAAGCTAGAAAGGGCATTGGTAGAAAAACAGAGCCCATTTTCTATAACAAGGTAAAAATCTTATGTAAGTCTTGCTCAGATCATTATGGGATGATGTTCATAATAGACTTGAAAAGTGAGAAAAATATCAAGGATGATGGGAATTAGTACCTTAGAGTGACTTCATAAATACCCTTAAGGAGCAGACCAAAGCTGTACTCAACACGTCTCTTTCATATATTCAAGTTTCAATGTTTGTGAGCGATGGAGCTATTAAATTTTATGTTGAACTTGCTTCTATTTTTGAATTTTTATAATGTCTGAAGTAGAACTTATCTGGCTGGCTTCTCTTTTTAAAA